AGGAGGAGAAGAAGAGATGGAGAGAGATGTGGCCGTGGACAGAGGAGAGGAGGAAGAGTAGGAAGGAGAAGAAGAAGAAGAAGAAGATGGAGGGATGAAGGAGAGAGCAGTGAGAGGAGCTGCGTCTCTCCGTCTCTCTGTCCCATCTGTGGGAGAGAGAGAGAACGAGTGACGCTTTCAGATGCTCCACCTGCCTGCCCACACCGCCCGACAGCCAATCACAGGCCAGGAAAAACACACACACACACACACACACACACACACACACACACACACACACACACACACACACACACACACACACACACACACACACACACACACACACACACAGAGGGTCACCATGGTAACTGCATCCTCTCTGTCTGTGCTGGAAAGTAAGACTGCAAACATCGCCAGCTCGGAGAGATTCAAGTCAAACTGCAGAACTAAAAATATTTCTACTGCAAATATAAAACATGCAATATTTCCATCATTAATACTGCCTCTGATACTGCTCATGCTATTATATTAATTATTACAGTACAACCACTGCAAACTGAAAATACAGGAAATACTCCTAATACTGATATATTTTAAACTGCCATTCTCTCCTAATACTGCTCAGGCTGTGATCCTTCTCTACACGTATCATTAACACTGCAGCTGTTATCTCTTACATCTCAATAAATACTACTGCTAATACTATAAACTGCTATTGATAATACTATGAGGGAACAATACTAACACTGTTACTGCTTATTATTTAATTACTAATCATACTGTTCTTATAATGTATATGGTATCACACTATACTGATATTTGACATACTGATACTCAGTACAACACAGTTAATTACCACTGAAATCCTGATTATGAAAGCACTGAGAAATATAACTAACACTGCTAACTCCTTTATGTGTACACAATCACCTCATCACCAATATCACCACCATCCCCAATAATACCACCATCCCCAATATTACCAACACCATCAATATTACCAACACCATCACTATTACCAACACCATCACTATTACCAACACCATCACTATTACCACCATCCCCAATATTACCAACACCATCAATATTACCAACACCATCAATATTACCAACACCATCACTATTACCAACACCATCACTATTACCACCATCTCCAATAATACCAACACCATCAATATTTCCACCATCCCCAATATTACCAACACCATCAATCTTACCACAATCACCAATATTACCACCATCCCCAATTTAACTACCATCCCCAATATAACCACCATTACCAATATTACTACCAATATCATCTCCAATATTACAATTAACATTCCCTCCAATATTACCACACATAATACCACCATCACCAATATAACCACCATTATTACCCCCTACAGTATATAACCACCAATATTACAATTAACATTACCACCAACATTATTAACTGATTCTCTGAAAAGAAACCATGACCAAAGCATGTTTGACAAACCAGTACACTTTTATTCACCAATCCACTGATTATAATCCGACCCGTTCTGATTCATGTAATCGATCTTTTGTTTCCATCTTTTTATTGCCATTACTGGTTTCTTTGACAGTGGCCTGAATGTAAATATTTCAAAGTCATGTTGAACTCTGAGAAAGTCACCAGACTCATTACTGGTATTCATACAGACCAAACGACCTGTTAAACAGATAATCAAGTCTAAGATGTTTTGTCTCAGCACTGGTTGTTTCAGGCTTGTCTCCTCACCCTGTGGTCAGAGGGACACTTCTTCTCCTTCTCCTCCACCTTCTCCTCTCCCCTTCTTCTCCTTTTTCTATTTTTAGTTTGTCTCTGTGGGGACGAGCCGCTTCTTCTCTTTCTCTCTCCGTCTTACTGTCACTCATATTTTTTGCTTGGCTTCCTCTTTTCAGTCCTCCTCCTCCTCCTCCTCCTCCTCCTCCTCCTCCTCTTCCTCCTCCTCCTAGAAGCGAGGATATTGGTCGGCAGAGCTCAATCTAAGCTCTGACTTCAGATTATAAACTCCAGCTCTGAAAGGAAATAGATTAAATCTGATTCTCTAATCGAACAGAACCATAGTCGCCACCCCCTGAAGTCTGCCCAGGCCATTACAATTTCAAACAGCGCCAAGAAACAGCCCCCTCTGAGAACTGACAGACACACAAGAGCAGGTGAAGCTGTAAAGGCTGAGGGAGTGCTTGAGAAGCAAACATTTAATGATGAAACCTCAAGGGCTAAACAATACAGTTAATGCCACAATACAAAAAACTGCAGTTCCCCCACTGACCACTGCAGCCCCACCTTAAAATTTCAAATTTTACAGCTGGAGTTCCTCCAGTGTCCACTAGAGTCTGTCTCCTGCAGTGAGTCAGTCCTCATAGAGCCCCATGTTAAAATGTCCAACTTTACAGCTGCAGTTCCTCCAGTGTCCACTAGAGTCTGTCTCCTGCAGTGAGTCAGTCCCCATAGAGCCCCATGTTAAAATGTCCAACTTTGCAGCTGCAGTTCCTCCAGTGTCCACTAGAGTCTGTCTCCTGCAGTGAGTCAGTCCCCATAGAGCCCCATGTTAAAATGTCCAACTTTGCAGCTGCAGTTCCTCCAGTGTCCACTGGAGTCTGTCTCCTGTAGTGAGTCAGTCCCCATAGAGCCCCATGTTAAAATGTCCAACTTTAAGCAGAAACAAACATGTTTACATCCTGGTACAAAAACAGGGACTCTAGAGCTCATTTCTCTCTTCATGACAACGTTATGGGCTGAATGTTTTACAACTCACCTGGAAAAGAGCTAATTTTTTCACCTTTGCCTTTTCTTCAAATAGTTTGATTCACTGAACTTCTTCACACTTGTTTTTATTGTGTGTGTTTGAGAGACATTGCAAATGCGACCCTTAAAACAGACATTAAAAGCCCCTTTTCTAGAGGGTACCTTAAACTGTAATATTTCCTTTCATAAGGTGCTTAATGATAGTTTTAAAACAGTAATTTTATGCTAATGCACAACTTTATGTGAGTGGTCAGCTCACGAAGGAAGACACTCGAGAGTTGATTCAGAACATATGCTAAAGGCTACATGGAAACACATTTCTAATATAAAAGAAAATAAACTTTAAGACTAATACTTAAAGATATCTTTAAACAGTCAAAGGTAAACTTCGGATGGATGTTTAAAGGAATCTAAAGAACAAATATTAAAGGTTTTCTTCAAATAAAAAAAGGGGCAGCTTGACACACTGATGCTTACAGACACCTGAAACAGAGGCATGCTGTCCTCTGCTGCCTCCTGCTGGTCACATGTTCACACTGCAACAACTCTGTGCTGCCATCTTCATAAAGTTCCATTCAGCTTCAGTGCGACTGACCCTGATGCATTGTGAATAATCCTGAGCTCTAACAGACATGATGGATGAAGTTACCAAACCTCTGTGCAGCTGATCTTTGTGTAGTCTGACCTGCAGACAGTCTTCTCCCTCTCTGTCTTTGATGAAACACTTCTGCTTCCCTCGACTCACTGGCGCCCTCTGGAGGTTAAAATGATGTATCACAGTGTTTGCATGACGACAGTTTAAACACTACACACTACACGTCCTTAGTAGCGCTGTAGTCATTGAGTTATTTGTTCTTTTAGAAAGATGCGTTTTCCTTCTGATCACAGTAATGACGTGGAAAATAACCGATCAGTGGTGGACTTGACCGGTCTTTATTTAAATTCTGGAGTCTGCCCAGTCTGAGACCGAGACAAGACCGAGTAAAAATGCTTTGATTTCCGAGACGAGACGAGACATGAACACATGAACACGGTGTGTTTCTTTAACAGCTGATGGTTTAAAGAGCCCATATTCTGCCCTTTTTGGGGTTCGTATATTTAATCTATGTTCCTACTTTTGTACGTTCACAATAGCTAAAGTCCGAAAAAAGTGTCTGTTTTCATGTACCGCTCCTTCTGGCTCCCTCTCTGCTCTGAGTCCGTCAGCTACGCTCTGTTGAGCCCACACTGTTAGACCCCACGTGGGCCAAGTCTGCTCTGATTGGTCTGCCGATCCACTCTGTTGTTATTGGTCAGTTGCTCAGCACGCGTCTCGGAAATTTCAACATGAGCTGCTGGGCTTGCCACAATGAGCCAATGGGCTTAGATCAGTGATCTCACACTGACAATGACGTCGGACTGACAAAGTTTTATCGAGGGGGGCTAGAACTGAGTGTTACATGCGGCTAATGCTACAGCTAACAGGAGGACGTAGGAGAAGCTGCGTTTCCACAGACTTTGAATTTTTGCACATAGATGTGCCTAAACATGCACAGGACACTTGGAAAACACACTGACGAGCATACAAAACCAGAAAAAGCCTAATACCTAGACCTTTAAACTCGTTTATTTAGATTCTTTATATTTTTATCTACTGAGCAAACCAAACCGTTAACTATCCTAACAAAGCTATGATGATTCAGAGTTTAACGGTAACAATCACTGAAGTTTGAAACCCGACGAGATCACTCTTATCTGAAACATAATCAAAGACTGACGGATGTTTACAGTCTGTTTAATGCTCGCTGTGTCCGTTAAGCGTCTTTTCTCTGTTATGATGTTGATAGGTTTCACTGAAGTCTGATCCGCTGCAGCGTCCAATCAATGAGTGATATTTGATAAGGGGGCGTGTCTGTCAATAAAAAGTATTGAGACGCCCTTCAACATGGCGGCACGGAATGACTTCAGGTTCAAGCGAGGATTGCAGAAACAAATAATTTGAGACATGAGAAGCATTGAGACTGTTTTCCAAACCTCCTGCTGCACCAGTAGAACCAGTATGTCCTGATTGGTCCAAAATGCAATATGTGAACAAATGTGAGATCCTCAGTCTGACTAAAATCCCCGGATGTCATTCTGATTCAGAAATGTTTAAACCAAACTCTTGTCTCTGAGACACACATGCTCAAAGCTTTCTCATGTAGACACAGAACACAGATCATCATGATAGTCATGTTTCATTTATTCTGATCCAGGGGAGCTTAGTGATGCTGAGCTCTAATTGGTTGATTCATCATCTCCAGGTAGGAACACAACTTTAAATACAGTTCATAAAACTATTAGAACTGTCAGTATGAATGAGGTCATGAAGATTAATTAAGGTCTGTATTAATGCATTCATTGTTTTTAATCTCGTTATTTTGTCCCTTCAGGCTCTCCGTAGATAGTGGTCCTCAGTGTCTCCCTGTAGTCTCAGTGATGTAAAAGAAGAACACTGCCGCATCTTTGAATGTCTCATTTCACTTTAACAAACTCTCAGACAGCTCAGCTGACGAGTCCAAAGTAATATCCACCTCATGACATCACACATTGACCTTTGTTACCGTTCATTTGAGCTGTTTGACCTCACTTTGGGATCCCTAACCACTTCCTGTTTCTGTGCTTTACTTCGGGTGCGTTCAAATTGTCCCTCCTATCTCCTTTCACTATCCACTTTACCTTAACCCTGGGGAAAACGTCATGAGGTTAAGGAAAGATGTTAGGAGAATTCATAAAGGACTTAGGGAAAGGCGATCTTGTTGCTCTGACAATCTGACCACATTTTCCACTAGGCGACGTTATTAAATGCGACGGGCCAGTGGAGGTTAATGACGTGGGTCTGCTGTGTTGAAACTACAATGTTCAGAAATGGACTACTAAAAGATCATCTAAAAAACTTTCCCCTGTGCCTTCTTACCAGTGAAATAATCCTAATTACCACAAGGTTGGGATTGAAATAAAAGCAATATAGACTACAAGGCTACGAGTAAGAAAAGTGAAATCATCACATTCCTGTCCACTCAGAAATCAACATCAAAATAAATATGATTGTACGAAATTAATTGTTACATTAATGCAAGATATACAGAATGTTTGAAGCATACAAATGTACAACTGCACAAAGCATTCTTAAGTGAATGAAATATGTTGAATAAAACATCATCTGATAAAAACGTCTCTTATCTTTTTATCTCTTTTATGATCCGTGTCACTTTACGATCATCGTTAATGTTCGTGAGCGTTCGGATGCGCGACTCGCTTTAAATGTTGCGGCCGCAAGGAATTGTGGGGCGTCAATCTCATCTCCTTTGGTAAAGGATGGTCCAGTGTATCCTATGCTAAAGGAGGTTATAAAGGAAGCATTGACCCACCTTTCCTTAACTTTTAGAGAATTCAAACGACTCTTATCATGGCCGCCACTTAAATGCTTCCGGGGTTAAGGTAAAGTGGATAGTGAAAGGAGATAGGAGGGACAATTCGAACGCACCCTCTATGTCCTAACCTTCCTTCTACAGGAAGGGCCTTACTTTATTTCAAAATAAAAGCACACAGCAAGTAAAGAAGTCTCAGCTTAAGACAGGACAAACATTCATAATAAAAGGCTTACCATTTTAATGAAATCAATGAACTATTTAATTCAGCAATTAAAGGATTAATGGTTTGGCAGCCCTGACATTTAATACTTAACACCTGTACCTTTAAGAAGTGAGTCCTCAGAGTTCAAACTATAAACAGAGGAGCAGAGCTCGCTGTCAGCTCTGCAGTGCCCCCCATAGGACTAGTCCAACCGTCTGAAAACTTCTGATGTACATTCCACACACAGTCCAGACCAGCCCCCCTATTTAACCTCTGACCCTCAGCTGAAGTGTGAAACAGAAAGAACCAAGTCCAAGTCACTGCAGAACTAACAGAGTCATGATTCACAGACCGCCTCCTGGTCTGGTTTATCTGGGTCTTGGTCTGGGTTTTTTTCAGGGTCCTGTTCTGGTTTTACATGGTCCTGGTCTGGTTTTATGGGGCTTTGGTCTGGTCCTGCTGGTTTGTGAAAACCCTCTAAGCGGTCTGGTCCGAGGTTTCGGGTCTCAGCGATGAGTCGTTTGACGCCAACCATCCACTGGCTGACTTCAGTCACATGATCGACCATCAGAGAGCGATGGATGTCATCAGCCGAGTCCCAACGAGCTGACTGTAACTCTAAGAGACAGACAGGTGAGATTGAGACAGGTGTGAACAGACGCAATAATGAGACAGGTGTTAGGGTAGACAGACAGGTACATGGTGAGACAGGTGTTCAGGTGTATACACACACAGACAGGTACATGGTGAGACAGGTGTTACCCAAAGACAGGCAGTCCATGCGTCTCCTGACAGGTAGGCTCAATCTTCCTGACCTCCAGCTGTCCTCCAGGACACGAAGTCTCTTTGCCACATCATTACACACCTGATCCTGCACATAGAGGTCAAAGGTCACAACGGCGGCCCTCCTAGTGGTCCCCTGAGGTACTACACTCGCAGCTACAGTCCCTCTATCCCTGAAAGTTCTTTGAAAGTTCAGCACTTCTTTTCCACACCTTTAAATAATCTTATTTTAGTAACCATGGTGATGTGTGTGTGGTGTCAGTAAACCGTGGGGCGCCCCCTACTGCTTTGGAGGTCTGTATCAAAACTCACTTTAACAGTCTCTCTGCAGGCAGCCAGTGCTCCATTCAGCACCAACATCACAGCCTCTACATCAGGCTCACTCTCTGATTGGCTGCCATCGGCCTCTTTCTGACCTCTTATTGGTCCCAATGGAGGAGGGGGCGTGGCCACACAGGTAGGAGGTGGACCAGCTGCAGAGGAAACACAATGACATTACAAACGTAAGAAGAGGTTCTGCGGGCCAAATAACAACCATATTCTTCTTCTGTTGCTTACCTGGATTGACAGGAGGCGGGGCTGAACCTATTGAGGGAGGGGTCATTGGTGGGGCTCCAGAACCTGAAGACCAATCAGAGACCAGATGTTTGAAAAAATTAAGGATGCAAGAACCATTAAATACTGAAGCTCTGAACAATGAGGGACCATAGAAGAGGGATAAACCCATCAAGAGCAACCCCACTCTGTGATTGGTCAGCTGTGTGAAAGGAGGCGGAGTCTTCAGACAAACTGGTTCAGGACCACAATGACCTGAATCTGCAGGTGGAGCTGCTCTCTTGTTCAGGAGGTTCCTTTGAGGTCCGCGGGCCTTCTGCAGGTCGTATGAGAACTGAGGGGGGTCGTTCCATCCTCGCTCCTGGTTACCTAGGCAACACAGAGACAGGTTAGGTTTTAAAGGAGAAGCTCATCCTGAACGTTTGCTGCCATTTTTACTATCTTTACTGTACAGCAGCCTTAAAAATGATACAAATTAGTTTTTAGTTGAATCACAATAAGAAATACTTTATTAATCCCAGGGGGAAATCCGTTAGTCGTTGTTAAAACAAACCATTGAGAGTTGTTGACCAATGATTAATCATTTCAGCGCGTATCGATTTAAAGGATCAATCAGTAAGATGTGTAGTGAGTGAAATGATAAAGTGAGCTTACTATATGAGCAGACATTCAGGAAACATGCTATGTTGAAGTGCTGGCTTCTCTAACAACAATGCAGCAGCCAGTATGTCCTCCTTCTAACTTTAGATTCTGGTCCTGAATGCTCTGGATTTGTTTGGACCAGAGAAGGTAGGCGGTTTTAAGGCAATCCCACACGGCCGTTTTGGACTGCAGTACCCATTTTAAACACTAGGAGTCAGAGTTACATACTGCTCCTTTAAATTAAGAAAATTGTTGCTTCACATTTTCCATCAGGATCTTAATCACATCAGCAGCAGTCTGTAATCACCAGAGGATTCTGAATTATTTGTTTAGTGGTTTTCTGCTTCATTCATTCACGCTCTCTGAAAAAAATTAAGTTATTACATGTTGACAGCTGTAACTCTGTGTATGAGCACAAACCCTGCTCCAACCAAACTATTGGGATCTGTGGCTGCTGAATTAATCGACATGATGATCAATTATCGCTGCAATGTCAAATGACAAACATGCATCAGCCTAAAGTTCTCATGTTGACAATAGCTGCTAACATTGATCTGAATTAATTATGATAATTTAAAAAAAGCCTCTCATAAACTTTCATTTCTACCCTAACAGTTACTGTTTTGTGACTTATTCTGCTGCCAAACAATTAATCATATCCAGTTCATCTTCTGCTGAACCTCACATCGTTAAAACGTGTACGTAGGCTATTTGTTGTCTGGGGGGATTCATAGAAGGGTCATTCCAGAATTGGAGGACATTTTCTGCCCATGAAAATTTAAATAATTTGTGCAAAAAATCCCTAAACACATAGTTATTGTGCAAATTGTATGTGTCCTCAGGCAAAATGTAAAGATAGGTGTAGTGAAAGTGGTTTTAAAACCCTATTTTAAAAACCAAATATCTGCCAAACACCCCTAAAAGTGGCTGTATTCTCTTGTCCCACCCTCTCAATGACCAGTTTTAATATCATATGTAACAGTTAAAATACGTTTTTAATTTACTTTTTTTACATGATTGTATTAATGTATTTCTCTTGTAATTGTTGATACTGTTTGTTTAACCATGAACATAGTTTTAATAATAGTAATTATGCCTCAAAGTTGTGTCCCACAACATGTGTGCAACCCTGTTACCAAAACAATTTAAGCAATGCAGAAGAAGAGTAAGAACAGGAAACAACATGATTCAGCAGAAATGACATCTTGAAGCTATATGCAAACACCATGGCTAGACCAAATTTAAGTGCTCTCTTCTAATTTTCATATTTTGTTGACATTCTCAGCCTAAATTGAGTGTGTCACTGAAACCAACTCAACCCTGTTACTGATTTTATCAGAATAAGACAATTTCATTTTAGTTTTTTTTCTTTTTTCTTTATATATCTTATATCAGGGATGGGCAACTTTGGTCACAGCAAGGGCCACATTCATTTAATTCTGACTGCCAGAGGGCCAAATTGTAGAATACAAAAATGATTACAGTCAATTATGTCTCAAATTTACCTCGACATATACCAGTGATCAAATATTATTATGGACATATTTCTGGTTTTCATGATTTCATGGCAGATTTTGTCATGTTTTCTTCATGTTTCCAATTAATTGATATGTAAAAATTGACCTGAGGGCCACGTTGAAGGTTGATGGGGCCTTCAACGTGGCCCCCGGGCCGCCAGTTGCCCACCCCTGTCTTAGATTGTCCTTTGCCAGCTAGCATAACTGCTAGTACAGCTAGCATCTACCAGTAAGAAAAAAGTTTGAGCATTAGCACAGATTTGAAACCATGTTACTAAAATAAGAGTAACAGGTTTTTTAGTTATTTTACACCTATTGTGAAACCTATAAAATAATATCAACAACGTTCCTGTTATCCTGTGTTCATTTATTACATTTATGTCATGACTTATAGTCTAAAGTAATGTATCCATTCACCCCTGTTACTCTAGTTTCAACCCTGTTACCATGTAATTTTTTATCAAAATAATCTTAAATTAGGATTAAATGTAAATGTGCCTCTCTTTATTAAGTTTTCCAGGTTCCTGAGTATCTGTAACAGGGTTGCACCAAACGCAGCTCACAACAAAGAAAACATCTAATAAAAAATGTGTCTTTGATGCTTGAGCTGGACGAATCACATTATTTGATGGTTTATTACTTGTTTTTTAAAAATATTTAACAGAAATTTGCAGAACAAATGGTAATTTTTTCAAAAGTTTTGATGGCTAAATTGTCCTCCAATTCTGTAATGACCCAGAAAATGAAATGATATTTGAATGAAGAGTTTTAAAGACACATTCCTCTCAGTTCCGGGATCAAACCAGTCCAGATCTTTTGTTAGATTTGAGCCTCACATGTAGTCTAAACTACATGGTTCACAGGGTGTGACTGTAATATTTACAGTTTATGGTGTAACATTTAAGGCTAAACTATCAGCATGTCGAGCGAGTCAAACCAAACCTCTTTAAACTTCCGGCTCACTTTTCAAAGCAGACAATAACTAAATATTGTGAATCGACAGTTTTTCGACTAATTGCTGCATTTTAAAAAGGCATACAGAAAAGTCAAACTAAATACTAAATGTAGGGTAGCCTACCATAAAGAGTCACAGAGAGTCGAACAATCGATTATTTACCATCGATCGGGTCAACAACAGCACAAAGACTGTCTGTACCTGTATTATTACCTGTATAGTGAGTGTTTGTGAGCCGAACTTAAAATAACAACATTTCTTTACTTTATTGATGATTTTTTTTGTTTAATTCCGTTTTTTCCGTTAATGTGAATAAAATATTCATATTTCTGGATGAGGTTTGGCGATCGTTCAGTCAACTATCTCAACAGGCACCAAACACAGCTACAGGTAGCCTAACAGAGCACAGAGAACTACAGAGAACTGTCAGTACAATTAATTTAGTGTCCTGTTTACCTGGTTTGATGAACATGTCCTCCATGTTGGACTCCTTGTTCAGGTAAATATCTGCTGCTTCTTTCTCTCGGTGAAGCTCGGCTAACAGCTTCCGGCCAACGAGCCCGATAACATTTAAAACCTTATCTAACCGTGAATATGAACTGATATGTATTTACACATAGCCTACATTGAAACTAAACTGTGAACTGTTCAGTGTGATGTTTAGTTTAATGAGCTGTTTCTGTGTTACGGCACTAACAATAACCACTTCCGCTCTGATTTCAAAATAAAACGTATTGATTGAGTTTTGTTCAAACTAACTTTTATGTTTAATGAAAAATGTTCATCAATGAGGTTGTTGTATTTGCTATATGTTATTCTGCTTTATGAGTTATTGTTGTAGTGTGGCTCCTTTCTGGCATGTCATTCACATAGACTGTAAATATGTATGTACGTGGCCAGAGAGACGAAAAAGTCATAACACGTATCGTTTTCAAAATCAAAATAGAGCTGTTTAAAGATGCTCCCCAACCCCCCCACCCCGTACAATTTGTGCCAGTGATAAAAATAACTAATCAGACCTATTTGTTTTTTTGCCAGTCATGTGTACGTGACCTCCTGTGTTCCTGCACCCAGCCTCTAGTGGACACTTGACGAACTGCAGGATTTTACACTTCAGTATCTTCAGCATTTACCAAGACCCACTCTCTCTCTCTCTATCTCTCTCTCCCCTCTGTGTTCAAGTATCAAAAATTATCGAAAATTCTCAAAAAAAACATTTAAAATAAATAAGTATATATCAAAGTTAGGAAAAACATTGACAACCCTACTCCAACAATCAGTTTTTCTACAGCCACACACTCTGTATCATCATATTTACATTTGAATGTCTAACATTTGGACATAATAATACTGATAATAGAGTGTGACCATATTTAATGTGTCTACTCTGCTGAGTGTTATGCTCCTCAGTTACATTGAAAATTGGGATTTTACTTTGCAGGATACCTGGCCTGACTTCCTGTGATGTTGATGAGCTTCACGCGCTCCCTGCCGTCAAAACTTTTTCCGGGACACGTGGCCAGTGTGTCATACCTGCTATGACGTAGTGTGACCTCTGGGGAGCGTCAGGTGGAACATGGTGAGCTGATGAAATCCTTTGTTTGTTATAAAAACATTTAAGGTGATTGTTTGTGATCGGTTCGATCGATTATGGAAAAAGAAAGAGTTAATGTTCTGTGACAAACACATCGATTACATTATGACACATTATATGAAACGTGTCCAGTTGTTGAAAATACCAAAAGCAAAATATGTAATATATAATATATGTAATATAAAAACGTCCGAGTCCAGTGTGACCCCTGAGCCACCAAGGAGGGAGATCCCCTCACATCAGTCCAGCTCAGATGGAGCCAGTGTTTCCAGCCTCACCATCCCAATGAAAACAAATTAAATCAGTGATGTCAAATGGATTTAGATATTAATCCTCTCTTTTTTTTTAAAGCGTGTAATTCTTCGTTATGGTTGACAGAATATTTATAAAAAGGCTTTGTTTGGAAGTTATGGATCAAAAACTCAGGAGGCAGTCGGTGGATATTTGTGGGAATGTTTGTGAAGGTTGTCACAACTTTCAATACCGCATGTTTTTAAATTACAGGATCTCTATTAGTTTAATCATCAATGCTATTAAAAAGTAGTGAAGCTTTAAAAAAATCCAGTTCAACAGACAGGTGTGTTGGAGATGAGTGAATGCATCAAAAATGACAGAAATCTCTCACACAGTCTAAATGTACACAAACATTGACACATGCAACATCTATATTAAAATGTTTTTTTTAGTTCAGACAGTTTGTGGGAGTTTGTCTGCATGTTTGGTAACTGAAAACAATAAATTACCCAACATTTGGTGTCTTTGACCTCCGTTTTTGTTGCTGTGGTATCGATATGATTACATTTTTTAGTAAATAATTATTCGTCTTTTGGTTGCACTATAATGATCGTTTCAAAGTTTTAAGTTCTGGTATCATGACAGCCTCAATAGTTGTTATGAAAATGAACTTTAATTTTTACTGTGAAGGTCGAGTGAGGCAGAGAGACAGAGAGGGAGGGGAGTGATGACATCATCAGGGGGAGGAGAGAGAGGAGAGAGAAAGGGAGGGTGAGGAGGAAGAAAACAGCATCCTTCATCCCACAGAGAGGAGAGAGAGAGAAAGGACAAGTGAGAGAAAGGAGGGACGGACGAGATCAGAGAGAGTGAGAGAGAGAGAGAGAAACGCCGGTACAGGAAATAAAATAAAAGAGAAGAAGAAGAGGACGAAGGACAAGAACGAGGAAACTGATGGTGCCGTCTGAGAGAGAGACGGACGGAGGGACAAGAGACACAGAGACAGACAGACAGACAGAGAGAGAGAGAGAGACGGGCAGGCTTTAACATCTGTCATCTCGGCCTGTGTGTTTGTTTGTGTGTGTGTGTGTGTGTGTGTGTGTGTGTGTGTTGGAAGGCGATCAGTTGATTGGACCCCACACGTAGGAGGGTGGAGCCATGATGGGCAAGGATTACATGTTGGCCATCATCATAGTTAACTATGACGGTGAGACACACACACACACACACACACACACACACACACACACACACACACACACACACACAGGCAAGCAGGGGACCCTGCTGTAATCCCACAGGTTTAAGGGGACCGTCTGTGTGTGTGTTGTTTACATGTTGAGTATGCTTTTTTGAACATCTGCAGACTCAGACGTTAAAATGGGTTGCTGTGGTTTGTGCAGAGTGTGATTCACACACTGTGAGCCACTCTGTAGCATCGTGTCACCCTCACCGGTCTCCTCACACCCGTCTGAAGTGATCTTTGACTAAGCCCCTCCCCTGAACAGCAAGTGTTCAGACAGTCAGTGTTTTTTTTTATCTCTGAATGTTGAAGCTGTACACTGAGAGGAAACTGTTATCAATGTGTTTGCTGCTCTAACTTAGGCTAACAATAGCATGCCTGGCTAACTAGCTTAGTTCATAGCACATACAGTACATTTAAACGTCTTTATGACTGATTTAACAAAGTCTTCCTGAATGTATCCACAAGTTTGTTGATCCTGCAGCAGGTAAACAGACTGTAACGTGAAGTTGAATTTTTCAAAGTTGGACTGAATGTGATTGGTGGCGGATTTACTCCCACATGTTAACACCTCAATCTGACCAAACTGGATTCATGCTTTCTGAGAATGCTCCAAAGTTACCACCCAGAAGTTGAGCAGCACAAATGTGTAGTAGAAGAAAAGAAGACGAAGGTATGAACGTGGCATAGAGTATGTATGAAATGTAAAGAGCTTTAAGATTGTCCATTGTCCATGTCAGGTTTGTCGATTGACTTTATGAGTCTGTCCATGCAGTTTGAAGGTCAGGGTCTGAATTCAGGTCTGTAAACTGGCTCCTGTTGGTTGTTTAGAATCTGACAAAACATTGATTACTCCTAACACTTATTATGGTGTACTATGAGTACAGATAGAGAACATCTGGAGGGAAATTGGGAAGAATTGAGAAGTAGGACTAAATGTTTGATCAATAATTTGATAAAAAATATATCATATCCATAACTAATTTAAGTAAGGAAGTGGTTGAATGATGACACCAGCATTTTCAAAAGGTTGTTATAACTTGAAGGTGGCTCGATGTCTTTCTGTATTTTCTCTGTCCACTCGCTTTGTGGCTAATGATAAACAAGGATGTGTTTAATTAACATTTATTCAGATGTAAAGTTATGACAATTTAACAGTAATTTAACATGCTAAAAGTAGACTCCATAATTAGCACTTGTTAGATTAGCATTGACCAGGGGCCAAAGTTTCCAACAATGTTGCTAATCTGTGAGGGAAAGCTAAAAGAAGCTAAGCCTGGATCTTTGAGTTTGTCAGAAAGATAAGTTGGCGTCAATTCACTGTCTCTGATTCTTCCACATCAGCTGGAGAAAGTTTTTAACAAACTCTGGTAGTTTTCAAGAGAGCTAGGGTCGTCACGAATATGAATAAATATGAATAAATATATATATATTAATAAATATTAAACAATGTCGATACCTGTTTAATATCATGGCAAAAAATAGAAGTCCTAGACGCCCAACATTTGAAGGTTTCTTGGTTTTATTTATCAAAAATTGAAGGTTAACTCCTGCACAGTGTCTAACTTGGCAACATTGTTGTCAACATTTCAGTAAGGTAATGTTACCGATGTTTTTGTGTAATTAAGACGGTTTGCATGCAATGTTTGAAACCGTGGAGCATTAAGTTAAGGAGATTGTATTGTTTCAAAACATGTGGTATCAAAAAGACTTCATATTTTTTTAAATCCAGCCGCTGTGTTTTACTGTGCTCTAATATAAAGGACTCGTTGTGATCTAATGTGTGATGGTAGAAAAATGACAGGTTGGCAGCATTAACAAAGAGGGGCGGAGCTTAATGGACCAGAGGCCCCGCTTTCTGATTTTCTGATAGGTTGCTGGATATCCTCCATCAGTCACATGACCTCACTCTGAAACAAGGTCAGACTGGACCTCACTTAGATAGAAGTGCAGGAAGACACATACACACACACGAACAGGGATGAGGATAGTGTGTGTGTGTGTGTGTGTGTGTGTGTGTGTGTGCGTGTGTGCGTGTGTGCGTGCGTGTGCGTGTGTGTCTGTGCATGTGTGTGTTTGTTAGGTCATAATGACAGAACACACGCACGCTGTGTTTATACAGAGTTTATACAGAGATGAGTCAGCAGCCGTTGTCTTTTAGAGGATGTTACAGTGAGTGACCTCAGACACGTTTTTTTATGGAAACGTTCTCACTGTCAGGGTTTCACTGTGTGCTAAATTCTTGTTCCACATCACCACGTTGGAGGAGGATGGTAGAGGTACAGACAGGTTCTGGTTAGAAACAAGCGTTTGTAGGATTTGGTTTAAAATCTTAATGTTGAAAATGTAAAAATTGCAAATTAAACTAATAACAAACAAAGCACCTTGAGTTGCTCTATTTGAAGGTGCTCTGTAAATAAACTTGCCGTACAAATAAATGAATGAAGTAGAGTTACATACCTTCTTTGATTGGGTTAAGTTGTGTTTATAATTAAATTAGTGGTTTGTGTCCAAAGAAACGTCAATGAAGTTCAAACATGTGAGACATGAGGGAAATCTATTTAGTTCTATGCAGAGGCAGAGAGTTCAGAAAACATGGTCATGATGTATGTGGGTAATATATTGCACTCTCACACTGATGTCTCCTTTTTGAACTTGTTTTGTTGTTATAAAGTTTTGTTGATGTGTGAGAGAGTTGACTTAGTTTAAACTGTGGATTATTGCGTTGGTCGGCTGTATCGATCACTGCTCCCCTCCCCCGACTTATTCCAGTCATATCGTCTCTCAATCAGCTGATTCAGCGTTTTGTGTCTCTGACGGTTTATTAATTATTCAGACCGTGTTCAGTTTCTTCTCCTCTTTCAGCTCTTCCTGTACCCCAGTTTGACCTCTTTGGTTACTGAAACAGTTCTTATATTCTTTACTGAGGGGGGTAGATATCAGGAACACCAAGAACATGATATAATACTGACTTTAAACGATCACAGAGATTAATCAGCTTTGATCAGTTCTGTCTGTTCTACATGAGTCTGGTTCTGATCCAGGTTTCTGTCTGTTCTACATGAGTCTGGTTCTGATCCAGGTTTCTGTATGTTCTACATGAGTCTGGTTCTGTGTCAGGTTTCTGTCTCTTTATCATGAGTCTGGTTTGCAGATACGTTTCTTCTGAATTGTTCATCTCTATAAATAAAGATTGACTGACTGTTAATGGAGACAGTGTAATTAAAGGATAAAGAATGAGTGTGCAGGGAGAGGTTGGATTGATTTTATTGATTTTATGACAGTCTGTAATCTCTCAGTATTATCTGAGCAGAATCTCAGAGTTGCTTAATGTATCTACGACTGACATCTCTGCCCAATCGGCTCGTCTCTGTGCTTCACGCTGTCACCTGATAGGACAGAAGCTCCATGCATGCTGTAACGTCCTGTCAATAACACCACTCTGACTGACATTAAGTTTCTTGAAAATTTGAATGAAAGTGTGTAAATATCAAACCTATGAAGAAGACAGGCCTGCACACTTGCTCACAACGTTTCAAAATGTTCACCTGAAGAACACCTCTGGTCGAAATGTTGAGATCAATGAAAACGTTTTGTGGCATTTGAGCAAGTGTGAGGGGCTATCTTCTTCCTAAGTCTGCTGGTTTTGCACCGCCCTGCACGTGATGTGCTCCTTTTTGTGAATATGGAACCTCACACCAAATCTGTTAACATTTGGAAACGTACGTACGTTTACTGCTCATACTCAAGTCAGATTTACAAACGCTGTCAAAATGTTCAATACCATGTTTTTAAACAAGAGAATATCTATTCAAATGATCAATATTATTAAAAAGTACCACAAAGAGAAAGGCATCTATTTCACATGACTGGTGTGTATGAGAGGAATGAATCCATCACTGTACACATGAACACATGAACACTGTACAAAAACATTGGCAATGTAAGTTTTGGTACAATAAAGACTCAATATTTGGTGTCCATGTCTTCTTTATTTTTTGTTGTGCTATCAAACGGTCATTGATGTCATGTCATATCCAAGGTAATCATTCTGGTATTATGACACTCCTAAATCCTTATTACTTGTCAGGTGAAGCAGAAGTGAGAGCAGCTGAAAAGTTGAACTCTGGTTGATGAAAGCAGGTGAAAGTCGAGGCTCCACAAATAGCTGACGAGTGAAGTGTGGATATCTGAAGAGTCAGCTGTGAGTGGAGCAGAGACAGCAGTAAGAGGCGTTTGAGCTCCCGTCGAGGCATTAAAGACATGATGTCAGTAAATAATGGTCTCATTTAGAGTCACACAGACAAGACAGCAGGGGAGGAGTTAGGGCGGGACCAGAGCCTTGGCACCGGGCGGGACTAACTCTGATTGACACGGTGCTACCATGGAAACTATAAATGTTTTGTTAAGTATTTGGTTGGTTGTACGAAATGAAGCTCTGAGGAGATTGCCGTACATGTTCTCAGTAAGAATGTTTCATCTAAGGAAGTAATCATTTGGACAAGAGGGCGGAGTCACTCCTCTCCAGCCCCACCCTCTTGTCCAAATATGGTCAATTCTGGCTTTAATACAACATCATCTACTTAATTGAGGTTTCAGAACTGTAGTCAACAAACCACTGAGTGATGTCACAGTGTTTATGTTGACTTCTTCTCCTCTGTTTATTAATGTATCCGATGTCCTCTTGTGTATCTGTGTGTGTATCTGTGTGTCCTTGTATGTATGTGAATATATGTATGTGATTCATACATATATTACAGCTGTTTGATACCATGACAACAGAAACAGAAGTCCTAGGCCACCGATATTCATTTATTGAAAACTCAGTTACAGGACACCTTCTTTCTCCGTGTGTATGCAGACAACATCTGGACTGATCAGAACCTGCTGCTGGATCCGGACCTCCCCTCCGGCTGGAGAACCATCAAAGACTCCACAGGAACGTACTACTGGCACGTTCCCACTGGCGCCACCCAGTGGCAACACCCACGCCTCAACACAAAGCCACAGCTCCTCCACACACAGGTTAGACCTGAAAAAACATCCAAGTCAACCCGGATTAAACCAGTTAGTCCAGATTAACCCAGTTAATCCATATTAAACCAGTTAGTCCAGATTAAACTAGTCAACCCAGATTAACCCAGTTAATCCATATTAAACCAGTTAGTCCAGATTAAACTAGTCAACCCGGATTAAACCAGTTAATCCATATTAAACCAGTTAGTCCAGATTAACCCAGTTAATCCATATTAAACCAGTTAGTCCAGATTAAACTAGTCAACCCAGATTAACCCAGTTAATCCATATTAAACCAGTTAGTCCAGATTAAACTAGTCAACCCAGATTAACCCAGTTAATCCATATTAAACCAGTTAGTCCAGATTAAACTAGTCAACCCGGATTAAACCAGTTAATCCATATTAAACCAGTCAACCCAGATTAACCCAGTCAACCCAGATTAACCCAGTCAACCCAGATTAAACCAGTTAGTCCAGATTAAACTAGTCAACCCAGATTAACCCAGTTAATCCATATTAAACCAGTTAGTCCAGATTAACCCAGTCAACCCGGATTAAACCAGTTAGTCCAGATTAAACTAGTCAATCCTGATTAAACCAGTCAACCCAGATTAACCCAGTTAATCCATATTAAACCAGTTAGTCCAGATTAAACCAGTTAGTCCAAATTAAACCAGTTAGTCCAGATTAAACCAGTTAGTCCAAATTAAACCAGTTAGTCCAGATTAAACCAGTCAGTTCAGATTAAACCAGTTAGTCCAGATTAAACCAGTTAGTCCAGGTTTTATTCCTACTATCCTAGTAGTTTGTACTGTTTAGCTGGGCTGTTGTTTACTTTGTCATTCCGAGACCAGAAAAAAGTTTAGCCGGACCTGGTGTCCTGCAGAGTAACCACGACTGGAGGTCAGACTACAGACTGCTGTTGAACGCAGTATGAAGTGCAGTACTACACACTGCTTTCAGCAGCAGTCTGTAGCAGGCGGTTTAGAAAGCAGCCCGTTTGTCTGATGCAGTACTCGCTCTTTTTTAGCAGGAAGAGGCTGGACCACAGAGCTCCAACACAGGAACAGATGGACCACCTGAGGCCAGGTAACACACACACACACACACACACACACACACACACACACACACACACTCACACAGAGACACACACACACACACACAGAGACACACACACACACACACACACACACACACAGACACACTCGCACATGCACACACACACTCAAACATACACACACACACACACACACACACACACACACACACACACACACAGACACACACACACTCGCACATGCACACACACTCAAACATGTGCGCACACACACACACACACACACACACACACACACACACACACACACACACACACACACACACCATCTGTAGAGTTTATATTATTTTGTTTTCCCCTCAGGAGTTCTTGGCATGAAGATTATATCACCAACCACGATCCAGACGCCAAGGTAAGACAACAACAACAACAACAACAACAACAACAACAGCAGCACCAAACCCGCCACAAGAACAACATAACAACACTGCCACAAAAACACAACATGACAACAGCAACAACAATAACATTTTAACAACAGAACCACGACCTGGACATCACCTCCTGTGCACTCTTAGAAATTCCCCCTGTTAAAAAACGATAAACAACTGGCAGTAGGGTTGCCAGGAAGTTACTGTAAAATTAACGGTATATTGCGGTAATTTGCTGAAATTTACAGTTTTCTACCGTTTTTGTAAATACAGCAAAAAGCTGTGATTTTAAACCTTAACAGGAAAATACTGTCGAAAGAATTAACTGTTTAATACTGTTTATTTGCAGATTTTTACTGTGAATTGTAAATACTACACCTAGCTATAGATTAATTTACTTCTACCAAAATGGACACAATATATTTATTTTCTAAACCTAGTGATTTGATAAATGATTCCTTGCATGTCAGGTTATAAAACACCATGTTTTAAAATAATAAATAAACAGTGCCTTTAAAATTGCAACTTAAAATGTTAAGACAAATGATAAAACGTCAAACTGTCTTCTCAAACCACATCTGTCTTTATTGAAACTGTAACAAAAACAAAGAAAATACACTTCAAGAACATGAAGGTTAAATAGGCAAAAAATCTAGCACAAATATTTACATTAAGACATTTAGCATAGGCCATTTCCAATGTATATAAAGTGCATAAAAGAGTTTTGGTAGATACATTTTAAACAGAGAAGTGAATAAAAAATCTGTTATAGTTTCATAACTGATTAAACAACCTGTCCTCTGAGGGAAACTGGGTCCCTGGACCTGCACCTCCCTCTGATTTCTCCTTCCAGACTGAAACTGCCACAAGGATTCTGTAAAGGGAAAAAACAACATTAGAACAAAAGCAGCTCCAGCTGAACGGTGAACATTATCATATGGACAATCATTTCTTAATATTCTCCATATACAAAGAAGTAAAGTAAAATTATGAAGTAAAACTAGTATGAATAAAATTAAGTCCTGGTAGTACATGAATTCAGGATGTATGGCAGCAGCTTTCTGTGTTAAAACAGTAAAAAACAAAAAACATGCTTCAGGTCCATTCTGACAGTCTCACTAAAGTTTCCTTTTATACATTTTCAAATACTGTATACTATACTATTTATACTATGGCCATATTGCCTAGTAGGCTCAGCTAATCATCATTTCTAATTCAATATTTAATAAATAGTCCGTGTCAGAAATGTTAGCTTGTTGATGTTAGCTAACCTTACCATTCTAGTACAACCAGGCAAGCAAGTCAAGTTCATTATAGCCCACTTAGTTAACCACATTACAAGAAAATGTTGTGTTTTTTTTCCCATTTAGCAACTGTTAAGATCTGTATTTCAAGCTAATGTTAGCTGGCAAAGAATTCACTCACTGCATGTGTGTCTGCCTGCAGTGTTTCTGTGTAATTTCCAAATTTAGCTAACTTTAATCTTACAAATGACTTCAAATTTAGTAAGTGATGGGTTTTGCCTATTCTAACTAGCAAAGCAGTAAGGCACTCACCTCTTAATTGTCAGGATGGAGATGGATGACAATCGGGCAAAGCCAACTCCACTGTCCTTTCAACCATGTGGTCTCAACTTCTTTTTCCCAAAATGCATTGCAAAAGCTACGGTAAATTACTGTTTTGTTTCCTTCAAGGGATAATACAGTAAAATATTGTTATAAACCGTTATAATACAGTAATGTCCTGTATTTAAACATAACAGGATCATACTGTTAAAATGTCCTTTACAGCAATTTCTTAGAGTGTGGACTCAACGCTGAACGAGGCCTTTGTTTTAAGGACACGGGCACACTGGCCATCCGTACCGTGCCCAAGCACGCTTCAACGCTAAAGTCCAGTTCATTTGACCAGTGTGACCGCTCCGTATCGTGCTCAGGCACGGTACACTTCCTTGGCTTTGGCACACTTCGGAGAGGTGTGCTTCAGCACGGTACACTTCATGCACGAGTACAAGCACGCGGGTACGCAACGCTGACATCCTTCATTATGGAGAAATCCAGAGTTTCATGTCTGTATCTGACTAACATGACTCAATATAAGCCACAAAGTAGCTGTCATGTTCTCTGTTGTTCTCCGATGTGCGGGCGTCTGCGCGGACTCGCGCACGGACTCGCCTGTGGACTCAGCCACACGTCTATTTTATATTTTTATTTATTTATGGCTGTGTCTGATTAAAATGGCTTAAAATAAACTGCAAAGTCAGTAAAGTAGCTGTCATGCTCTGTGTTTTTCTCTGATGTGCAGACGCGGACTCGACTGCACATCCCTATCTCTCTCTCTCTCTCTCTCTCTCCCTCGTCTGCCTGTTTGTAAACTGAGCACGCTTCATAATAACATAAAGCGTGCATGTGTTGTATTAAGATGTCATGTACAAGAGGTAATTGTGCTTAAGCACGGATAGTCCTGGCCAGTATGACCACATGGGAATGGCGCAGCGGGGGGGGGGGGGGGGCAATTGTGCTTGAGTACAGCACGGTACAGATGACCAGGAAAGGTCATCTGTAGAGCAGTTTGGGAAAGGTCTGTAGAGGCAGAGGCTGTTTTCTCAACCGTATACGACATACTACTATCTAAATCAGTATGCAGGATATACTGTAGTAGTTCAACAGTAGTATGTAGTATGACTGCCAGTCGTCGGTTATGTTGCAGTTTGCTTGGCACGGTTAAACTGGTTTCCGGTCCTGGAATGCGGAAGTAAACAACACCCATCTGGAGGTAATTAACATAATTAAAATAAAACAAGTCTACAATCTCTCATATTCTGGCATGTATACACTATAATCCTGGGTTGAAATATGATCGGCATGCTATTAAAGTTGTAGTATTCTTTTTAGACATTCAGGTTGAACTTTTACTCAGCTGTGAATAATAGTAATAGAGCAAGTCAAGGACCCTGTAACTGCAGCTGCTTGTCCAGCTGTGACACATGCACTGTACAGTCTAAAAAGCAGGAAAATCTGAGGTGGTAAGAACATGTCATATTTGTTATTGGTTCATGCCCATAATGTGGCAAGATATTCAGTCACTGCCACCGACGAGTTCTAACAGCTGTGCTCCGGCATTTTGATCTCTGACCTGGCACTTTGCATTGTGGGAAACAGTACGCGAGGTAGACTGGTCCGATGCTTAATGTAAATTTTTCCCGAATCAGTATGAAATCCTGGTATTTTGGGCATACTGCGGATCTCGCAGTTGTTCGCATACTGCATACTGCACACTGCATACTGCATTTTGGCCAAATCAGTATTTACTAGTAGTATAGTATGTGGTTTCGAAAACATCCAGACTGTGTGATGATGTCAGAGGAAGTTAATAATGACATCATAAGAAGCAGACCGTCTGTAGTCCACATTATTCTGCTGATCTGTTTTAATCTGTGTGTCATACTTTAATAATACAGCTTTAATCTGATTTAATCCATCTCTCTCTCTCTATTTCAACAACTCACTGACCCATTATACCTGTCTGTCTCTCTACATCTGTCTGTCCTCTACATCTGTCTGTCTCTACATCTGTCTGTCTCTACATCTGTCTGTCTCTCTACATCTGTCTGTCTCTACATCTGTCTGTCTCTACATCTGTCTGTCCTCTACATCTGTCTGTCTCTACATCTGTCTGTCTCTCTATATCTGTTTGTCTCTACATCTGTCTGTCTCTCTACATCTGTCTGTCTCTACATCTGTCTGTCTCTCTACATCTGTCTGTCTCTACATCTGTCTATCTCTCTACATCTGTCTGTCTCTACATCTGTCTGTATCTCTACATCTGTCTGTCTCTACATCTGTCTGTCTCTCTACATCTGCCTGTCTCTCTACATCTGTCTGTCTCTACATCTGTCTGTCTCTCTACATCTGTCTGTCTCTACATCTGTCTGTCTCTCTACATCTGTCTGTCTCTACATCTGTCTGTCTCTCTACATATGTCTGTCTCTACATCTGTTTGTCTCTCTCCACCTGTCCACCTGTCTGTTTCTCAGTGTTTTTCCGTCCGATCTTTGGGCTGGTTGGAGGTCGAGGAGGAGGACCTGTCTCCTGGCCGCAGCAGTCTCGCTGTCAGTAATGTCATCCAGCAGCTGTCTAACTGCAACAGCCCAGAGCAGAGAGACAGGCCGGGAGCATCGGGGGAGGTGAGACACCTTCTGAGGCTGGACCTGTCTGTCTGTCTGTCTGTCTGTCTGCATACTGACCTGTCCCTCTGACCTGTCTGTCTGCAGGGTCGTGAGATGATGCTGGTTCTGAAGAAAGACACTCTGACGTTGTTGGACCCTTTAGACCACACCCCTCTGCACAATCAGCCAATCATCAACATCCGTGTGTGGGGGGTGGGGTGTAACAATGGCAGGTGAGAGCAACAGAATATGATCAGTGACCAATCAGAGGAGACTTAACAGAAGTGACCATTGTATAACAGTTTAATTAATTTAAATTTAGCTAACAGAGCTATGCTAACAGACCCCCCCCCCCCCCCCCCCCCAATTCCGGCCTTAAAGCCTTAACGTGCAACATCTCTCTTTGCGCTGAATGTTTCAGCATGCTCAGTTGATGGTGTCACCTTCTAGATTTTTCTGACCTGTCAACAACATCACTAACACTCTCACTCTCTCTGTTTCTTTAAAACGCCCCTCCCCCAACCCCCCTCACCTGGGCAGGGACAGGTAAACCTCTCCACCATTACTGCTCACGTCTACAAACACGCTCAGTCACTCCATCCTCACTGTTGATCCATCAGCTGGAACATACAGTGTGTGTGTGTGTGTGTGTGTGTGTGTGTGTGTGTGTGTGTGTGTGTGTGTGTGTGTGTGTGTGTGATGCGTTCAGGGACTTTGCCTTCGTGGCGGGCGATAAGGACAGTTGTGTGCTAAAGTGTCACGTGTTTCGCTGCAACGCTCCGGCTAAAGCCATTGCCTCGGCGCTGCATCAGATGTGCTCCAAGGTCAGTGAGTCTGCCTCGATGCTTGCTGTTAGCATGCTAACATTAGCTTAGCATAATGTTACATGCTCTTTCTGTAGCCTGTTAGCATGCTAATATTAGCTAAATATAACCACATTTTAATCTGTTTTATTCGTGTTTGTTTCTGCAGATAATGATGTCAGAGAAGATGATGAGGCCGTCTCGCTCTCTGACGATGGAGAGCATCTCACCTGAAGACCTGCCCAGACAAGGTGACTCACCTGTCCTGCTCTGTCATCACCTGCTGCTCTTTGATTGGCTCTCTGCTTACTCTGCCTCCCTCTCTGTGTTTCAGTGGAGTTCCTGGGAGGCGGTCCGACAGCAGGTGCAGAAGTTTGAGGTCCAGTACATTGGAAATCTACCTGTGTCCAGAGCCATGGGTAGGACATAGCACACCTGTACACCTGAAAGCTGAAGTGACTGTTTGTTCAGTGATGTCTGCAGAATGAACTGTAGCTTAAACTCCCATGTTGAGTGTCAGGAGCTGGGAAGGTTAGCTCAACACTGCCCTCTATTGTGTAGGACAGTTACTATTATTTTGACCAGGTTTACCAGGTTACCACCAACTGACATAACGTCCCGATTCCATCTTTCTGTGTTTGTGTGTGTGTGTGTGTGTGTGTGTATGTGCAGGTATGGAGGTGTTGAACAGAGCCATAGAGAGCATCATGAACTCTACAGACAGAGACGAGTGGGAGCCTACCGTCCTCCACGTCACCGACAACATCCTGTCTCTGTGGAGGGGGGAGGTACGCCTGCTTTACACTCATCTATTGATCTTAAAGGTTAAAGTTCAAAGACCTCAGTGTGTCTCTGCCCTCTCTGATTGGCTCCTGACAGGAAGGGGAGGATCCTGTCTGGGAGTGTCAGGGTACGTTTCCTCACCTTTCTGGGCGTTGGCCATGACAGCCACACCTTCGCTGTGATCCTGGACGGCGGCACGCAGCGGTTCGAGTGTCACGTGTTCTGGTGTGAGCCGGATGCAGGGACCCTGTCTGAGGCGGTGCAGGCGGCATGCATGGTGAGAACCAGAACCAGAACATGACATTTTCACTGAGCTTTCGTAACTTCAGAATAACTCAAACGGTAAAGATGAATCACTGTAAATCAGTGGTTCTACGCGGGCTCCCTGTGGTGGTACGCAAAGTAATCTCCACAATATTAAAAAAAAAAAAACCTTCAGCATAAAACGCCTCGTACTCTTATCTTATCTGTCTTGTATCTATTAGGATGTTTTAATATCAAATGTGTTTTCCCCTCTAAATTAATCTAGTTTTTGCAACAAACAACTTTAATCTTCTCAATTTATGCTCACGCACGCACAGACATATGCACCAGGAGTACGCCTCACGTTTTGAAAGGTTCCACTCGATATTCAGTTATTTATAGGAATTCAGTACTGAATCAACAGAAAGCAGGGCCCAGGTATCGTCTTTGTGTGGGAAACACTCGAGACTAAATATTCTCAGGTTGTTGATATAAAGTTGTCATTTTTATTGTGCTGCAATTTTTTTGATTTGGGCAAATGTCAGAGTTGTGTGGAGTTTCAGTGCCAGTTCTAGCACTAACCCTTAGTAGTCCTATAGTGTGGCTGCCAACAGTCCATAATAAATAATATTCTTTTTATGAACATATTTGCCTCCTGCGTAAAACGTGTGTCGAAATAGGCCTACAGTGTATTTTAACATCTACCATAATGGTGGTACTTGGAGAGCCAAATATTTTCGGAGGCGGTACGCAGTCTAAAAAGTTTGAGAACCACTGCTGTAAATAATAGAGGGATTTATAGGCATGATCAAATACAGGATCAGAGTGGATTTAGAACAAGAAACTTCACACACATCTGTTGTGGAGCTCTGAGACTTATTTAAACTGGTTGAAATATGTGAGCTTTAAACACTGATTGTGTATGAACAGGAATGCATGTCAATCCATCAATCAGAAACTTTAATCAATTAGCCACGTTTCAGATAACACATTTAAATGCTGTATTTTCAAAGTTTCAATATTTTTCAGCAGTAAAAACAGAGAATGAAGCAGAACAAAACCAAAAAAGAAGGTTCTTAAAATAACTCTTCTGTGGTCACCAGACTTCAGAAGAGGCCCCGAGTTGATGTAACTAATTCTAACTTTGTATATTTGTTTAGGATTCCTTCAGTGTCCTGAATCAGGAATTAAACATTAATGAATCATATTTGATTAATAATTATATTTAACATCCCGTCCTCAACCTAATAGCGCGCCACAGGAATGATTCCTAAAACCCGGAAGTAAGTTAGCATTTGAGCGCCTTGGGGTCTAACATCTAAAAGTCAACAGGGATTTTGAATGGGTTTGTGGTTAGACGCCTGAAATAAGGTCTGTGGTTAACACAAGCTTAAGAGATGTTTGAGTTTTGTTAGACCACATAAACTACATTAGGTAATACCCCCACTTGTGAATTTTGAAGTTTTTACGCATCTTTAAAAAGGCGGTTGCTAACAAGTGGCTAAATGAGACTACAATGGTTGTCAGGGACATTAAACGCCATCACGCCGGACACAAAGGCCGGGAACTCTCTCACTTGTCGGAGTCACTATGTCTCATGTAGGTTTAATCTTTGTGATAAGGTGAATATTGGGTTAGTAAACAATTTATTAAGCTACGCGGATTAGTTTGTCTGAAGCATAACGCTAGTGACATCACAATCATCCGACTGTGGTTTAGTTAGCTTGAAGCATAACATTAGCTTTTTACTTCTGTCGGCCGCATTAACGCTTCAAACATCATAAACTTGGTGTTCATCTGTGAAGATTATCCTGCTGAACAAAACGCCTACGCATCAGAAGAGTGTGTTAGCCACAGAGCTTATTTTCTGCAATGATCCAAAATCCAATGCAAAAATCCCATCGGCAAATTCTCGTTAGACCCTATGGCAATGCTACTTCCAGGTGGCCTAAGAAAATACATCATATGGTTTGTTCTCTATTATCCGGCCCCCTGCTGGTCGCTGATGTCATCACTTCCTGTCTTCCAGGTTCAGTATCAGAAGTGTCTGGTGGCTCAGACTCCGCCTCCCAGGAGCAAGTCGTGGCGTGCAACCCCCTCAAAGGTCAAAAGGGCCAACTCTATGGATGGCGCCATCTTCCCTCCTCTTACGGCAGGTTACCATGGCAACAGCAACATTGGCGGCTCCCTGATGACGCAGAGAATCGTGAAAGGCAACGGCAGCAGCAGCAACGTGAGGAAGGGGATGATGGCATTTTTCGAAACTTTCCGGAACAAACAGGCCGCCACCTCCTAATGATGGGGCAAGGCCACCTGAGACTCGTGCCACCAGAGACCACCTAACCCCCAAGACTGTAAACAAACACCAGGATGGCTTCTCAGGAACCACACTTGACTCAGGTGGTCCTGACTCAGCCGCCTTCACATCACCAGCGACGCCCAGAGAACACAGCCACTTGGAACACCTGGGGTTAGCTTAGCTTAGCATTATAGTGCTAGCTATTTGACTGCTGGTGGAGGAGGATGAACCAACAGGTGTTAAAGAACCAGACCATAAGGTCTTCTACTTGATCGATCAACTGAGCACCAGAGGATCAATTCACCCAAAACTTAAACACAAAATGAGCGGCAGATTTGTCGTCATGTGTTCTCAGGCGAGCCGCGTCGAAATTAACGCTTAAATATTTACAAACATAAAGAATAACGACAATTCAAAGACAGCTGACCACTCATAACTTTTAAAAAATCATGTTACTATGATGACTGGAGTCTGATTGGTCCTCAAACTTTCCCCTGAATTGTCTGAAACATAGAACAAGAGCTAACATTGAGCTAATGTTCAGCTAATGTTCAGCTAACATTGAGCTTAAATTGAGCTAACATCTAGCTAATGGTGAGCTAATGTTAAAAATACTGAAGTAACACTTAGCTAACATTGAACTAACATTGAGCTAATATTAGGCTAGCACTTCTGTTCTGGTCTATGTTTCTCTAAATGGGACCCTTCATTAAATGAACATCATCTCCATCTTTAGTTTTAGAACCAGAAGTGACCCTATTTGGACATGTGGGAGGACCCCTCCCAAATATGGTCACTTCGTTAGACAAAATGTTATGACTGAAAACATGAACAGCCCACTCTTGAGAACTAACGTTGAGAAGAAGACATGGTTCCCGGCTGGATCAGAGTCAGATATTAACCTTTATGTATCCGCATTGAGCTATTTAGAGATTTATTAAAGCTGCACTAACTGATTCTGACCACCAGGGGGCGGAGCCACAAATACCTGCTGATGTGATGTTTACTGACCTATATGTTCCAACAAGTCAAAAATCAGAAATTACTACCATCGTGTGTCCAGGACTTTTTTAACGTGTCCGTTTGATATTATTAGATTTTTGCTAGAATCACATCGAAGTTTGATATTTGGGTATCGTGATGAAACTTGTCTATGGTCAATCATCATTAAAGGAACAGTCTGTCAGTTTGTGAGTGCTCTGTTTAACACATCCTGAGTGGGTCAGTAAACACAACACAGACAGGAAACAGTTAGGCCCCATGTCCACCTGGCGTTTTTTTCCGGGCAAAAAAACGCTGGCCACTTGCATGAAGCGTCTGGGAGCTGCACGTGCATCCTGTCTCCATGACAACAGTCTGTTGACGATGGCCGCTGTATGAGGACTCTGTATGTTTATATGAGATCGCTTTTTTCCCAATCAGACACGAAGCAAGGAAGATGTGGGTACAAACATGATCCGTAGGAGACAAAAATACGGGGTATATCAAACATTTTGAAAAAAAACCCCGCTTGTGACGTCAACAGCGCCTTTCTGAAAAGTTGAAAGTTTTCCAAGCGCTCAGAGCGGCCGCACTAAAAGAGGCGGAGCTCGGAAAGAAGACTTTGAGCCGCCTGCTGCTGCTCTCCTCAATGGGAACATTTATTTTTAAAGACGGCAGCGTTTATTAAAAAAAGAAAATGCCAGGTGTGCATGGGGCCTTTTTCACAAAGTCTTAAAGAGTTCGGCAGTTTGCATGTCAGGCACGAATGACAGCATGGAAGGTCATTGAAAATATCCTGGATGATCCGACGTGTGTAAGAGCTTCATTAACGTCTGGAGGAAGCTGAGCAGAAATATTTATCTTACTATGACACGCGTGATTTAAAGGGGCGGTACGGCTGTCTCCTGTAGATAGAAGCTTTAGTGTGTTTAATGTCAGTAGGAGAAATCAGTGAGAGGACTGCAATGTGTGCAGCACAAAACAAACCAATGATGTCATGTAGAGAAGAACCAAAAATGTCCAATAAAGTGAAGAAAAAGCTGTGAGTGTGTCGCTTTAATCATGTGATTTGATTGGATGATAGCTTATGCTACATAAGCTTCATGTCCTGTTAGCATATCCTGATGAAAGTGAAACTTCGTCCATTGTTTGTGTCTGTGGGGGAGGAGCTATCTGTGTAGATGCTGAGGCTGATCTGAAATGAGACGGTCCGGTCTCCAGACACGCCATAGTCCCCCGATATATGAAACCATATAAAAACAGATCAAAGAATCAAAGTCATTTAAGGCTCAGATTTGTTTTATCACTGCTCTCTGCCCCTCCTTTAGTTCTCCAGCGCCCCCCTGTGGAGTCTTCTGTCTGTGTTCTTTAATCTGAGCAGGTGATCAGGTAAAGAAAGGTTTGAATGGGAGTGGGCGGAGCTTCAGCTTCAGGCTGTCACAGTTTGTTTGTGATTACATAAGTTGAAACTGGTTCTCAGTCTAAACTCTGCAGGCTGTTTGACAGGAAAACACCTGCAGGCTTCAGGTGTGCCTGTGTGCCGGGGGGGGGGGGGGGGTCCTGGGTCCGGGATCTAACCTGTACCACTGTGGGTTATCAGTAACTTTATTAATAACTGATCAATTACTGGAGCTAAATGTTGACATGAAGGGCTACATATAAGAAGTAATAACGATGGAACCCAGTTTTTAAAACAGTTAAAAGAAAGAAAAAAGGGAGAGAAAAGGAGATAGTGAGTGTGTGTGTGTGTGTGTGTGTGTGAGTGTGTGTGAGAGTGTGTGTGTGTGTGTGTGGGGGGGGGGGGGTCGATGTTACGTCAACCCGTCCGCGTGCTGCTGCCGGCTGTTTCCTCGCGCTACATCCATCCATCAATCAACTACTCGAGCAGCCGAAAAGAGAGCGACCCAAGCAGAGACGCATCTGATAGAAGGTGAGTCCAGATCTCATTTAATAAAAACACGTTTTACGTCTTGACTTGAGTTAAAGGGAAGTTCCCGCGCGTGACAGATAAAACTTTATCACTTCTGTGTTTGAATGTCTGGAGGTAAACTCGGCCGACACGGGGTCACCAGGTAACAGCTGTTCTTAATTCAAACACCTGTTTTTAAGTATTGATTCCGACCCTGACGGAACATTTGATGGATTCACGAAAAACTTAAAAAACTTATTAAAGGTGTCAAAACTTTAAACAGGAGCCAGAAGAATGTATTTAATGTTGTCCGAATTAAAGAATAGACTCCGATTTTATTAAATGTCAAGAATGTTACTCTTCCTGATGTAAAGAATAACATGTCAGACCCTGAACATGTCAGACCCCAAACATGTCAGACCCCGAACATGTCAGACCCCAAACATGTCAGACCCTGAACATGTCAGACCCCAAACATGTCAGACCCTGAACATGTCAGACCCAAACATGTCAGACCCTGAACATGTCAGACCTGAAACATGTCAGACCCTGAACATGTCAGACCTGAAACATGTCAGACCCTGAACATGTCAGACCCTGAACATGTCAGACCCGGAACATGTCAGACCCCGAACATGTCAGCCTTGAAGTTCTATAGAAAAAAAAATCAACATTTTAAGAGTCGACCCATCAAACTCTTCGTGTTCATCTTATCGAAACATTTTAATGCAGTTCATGATGCTGTGTGACCTTTGTTTACCTTTTCATCGCGGATATGTGACGTCATTGGTCGGTCCAGTTTCAGACAGACATTAAAACATGAGGAGAGATGAGCACGTGACCAGCTGGCGGTTACTGGTTTCACTGGAAACTTGTTTACTGGCTTTTTTTTTCTTCAAAACAAACAATGTGTGTGTGTGTGTGTGTGGGAGGGAGACAGAGCAGCCTGTTTCTATATTCTTGTTACCATGGTAATCAGTTGATTAGATTTAGGCTGGTATGAAGGCATCCCAGAGAGTAAAAAAAAGTTATTTGTTAAGAAAAAATGGGATGGGGTAGATGGGATAATATGCAGAAAGGATTTCTTCTTTGTATTCCTCTCGTTCCTGATGTCCACACTTCCTCGCCGCTGAGGTTGGGGTCGGAGCAGGCTGTTCATGAAGGAGGACGGTGGTGGTTGTGGGAACGACACAGTCTGATGGTGGTTAATGTAAAGAAGAATAAAAAATTAAAATGTTCCAGTAATTATGGGTATAATGACATTTACCTTTCTCCTCCATCTCTCCTCCATCACTCCTCCATCTCTCCTCCATCACTCCTCCATCACTCCTCCATCACTCCTCCATCACTCCTCCATCTCTCCTCCATCTCTCCTCCATCGCTCCTCCATCGCTCCTCCATCTCTCCTCCATCACTCCTCCATCTCTCCTCCATCTCTCCTCCATCACTCCTCCATCACTCCTCCATCACTTCTCCATCTCTCCTCCATCACTCCTCCATCACTCCTCCATCTCTCCTCCATCTCTCCTCCATCACTCCTCCATCACTACTCCATCACTCCTCCATCACTCCTCCATCTCTCCTCCATCACTCCTCCATCACTCCTCCATCTCTCCTCCATCACTCCTCCATCACTCCTCCATCTCTCCTCCATCTCTCCTCCATCACTCCTCCATCACTCCTCCATCACTCCTCCATCACTACTCCATCACTCCTCCATCACTCCTCCATCACTCCTCCATCTCTCCCATCTCTCCTCCATCTCTCCTCCATCTCTCCTCCATCACTCCTCCATCACTCCTCCATCTCTCCTCCATCTCTCCTCCATCACTACTCCATCACTCCTCCATCACTCCTCCATCTCTCCTCCATCTCTCCTCCATCACTCCTCCATCACTCCTCCATCTCTCCTCCATCTCTCCTCCATCACTACTCCATCACTCCTCCATCACTCCTCCATCACTCCTCCATCTCTCCTCCATCACTCCTCCATCACTCCTCCATCTCTCCTCCATCTCTCCTCCATCACTCCTCCATCACTCCTCCATCACTCCTCCATCTTTCCTCCATCACTCCTCCATCACTCCTCCATCACTCCCATCTCTCCTCCATCTCTCCTCCATCTCTCCTTCAGGATGAGTGATTACCCTCCCCCGTACGGTCCTCACACCCACGCCTACCCTCCAGGTTTGTCTTTAAAAGACAGGTTTTTATAATTAGTTTTTAAATATTAGATTTTACTTTAATTCATTTAAAAATATATATTTTATTGCTAATGAGAAGTGCTTTAACAGCTGATTGATGTAAACAGTGCAGGTTGTCATGGAAACAGTGACATGTGACCTCTCGCCGTTTCTCTGCAGCTCTCGACCCTCAGCCCCCAGCATTCCCCGGCTCCTCCTACCAGGTACCCACTACCCAGCATGCACTGTTGCAGCCTCTTCTTCTGTTGTTAAAAAAAATCCTCTGTTACCATGACAACCCCACCTGTCTCCTCTGCAGACCTTCCCTCAGAACTACACAGGAGGAGCAGGCGGCTATCCATCTGGGCCCCAAGGGGCCTACATGAACCAGCCAGGATACCAGGGCTACCAGAGCGGGCCCCACGGACACTACGGAGAGCAGGCTAGACCCAACACCACAGGTAGGTCAAAGGTCAACCAGATCCTCATCATAGCCACAACTTGCTGGTCATTTATATTCTATAAATGTTTTAAAGTTTAAAAAAGTAAACAGATTGATTCATGACTCTCTCTCTCTTAGTGGTCGTGGTCGAGCAGCAGCGGCCCCGTGAAGAGGAGAGCGGCGCTGAGGAGGGCTTCCTGGCGGGGTGTTACGCTGCTCTGTGCTGCTGCTGCCTCATGGACATGCTGAGCGACGACCACTCTAGCTGTGATGACTTTTAATGAGCGATGACCACTCCCACTGTGACGACTATCACTGAGCGATGACCACTCCCACTGTGACGACTATCACTGAGCGATGACCACTCCCACTATGCCGACCACTCAGTGACAACTACTCCCACTGTGACGACCACTCCCACTGTGACGACCACTCAGACCGTGACGACCAGTCCCACTGTGACGACCACACCCACTGTGACGACCACACCCACTGTGACGACCACACCCACTGTGACGACCACTCAGACCGTGACGACCTCACCCACTGTGACATCCACTCCCACTTTGACGACCACTCTGACTGCTAAAACAAATAAGAAATGATTTTTAAAAAGTGTAAAAAAAAATGTTTTGATTTAGTATAAGAAGGTTTTTAGTCTTCACCTTTTGAAGGACGGGTTTTCTGATTGGACAAAGAACTCTGATTAATATGTGGTAGTTATTTCTTGTTTCTGTGGTTGTTTAATCGAGCGCTGTAATTAAAACAAAGTTCAGATCAGAAGGCTGAGTTCTTCATCCATCTGTTCATGAACTTCTTCATTAAAGCTCTTTGTTTGTGTTGGTTTTGGCGCCCCCTGCTGACAAAGCGGTCTATCTCCTGCTCATGTTGTCACACCCACTTAAGCGACTCATTAGGAACAGCTCTCTGAATATCCCCGTACAGTTCACTTCACTTTATAGTTCAGGTTTGGTGTTTATTTATCCAACAGTTGACTGACCGTCACGAGTTTGATGAATGGAATGAAACACTGGACTCATGATACGCTCTGTATCACATTTATTCACAGGCCGACAGGTGTGTGTGTGTACACAAGTGTTTTTACAGGTGTTTGTGTACAGATGTGTTTACAGGTGTGAGTGTACGGTGGCCCAGATGGACATAAAGGAGAGAAAACTTTATCGCCAACAGAGACAAACTCGTGTCTCTACACAGAGCTGTCCTCCTCCTGCTCTGATTGGTTTAGCCTCCTGTCAGTCTCTGCTCTCTTATTGGCTCTCCTGAAACCTGCACAGACAAAACACAAAACACCTGAGCATCAAAGTGTGTGTGTGTGTGCTTGCATGCATGCATGCGTGCGTGTGTGCGTGTGTGTGTGTACTGACTGTGAGCAGCAGTCAGCAGCAGTGCAGGTATGAAGACGATGAAGGACGCTCTCACTGTGTTCCCGATGAAGCTCAGCAGGCAGTCCAGAGGGTTCACCTGCTGCTGGACGGATGACTGAAAACACACACACACACACCAGTGAACATATTTGGACATGAGGGCAGAGCTGGAGAGGAGCGAGGAAGTAGTCTTACACGAACTAATGGGGGGAGCGTATGTTGGACTCACCTGTGCAGGTAAACAAACTGAGAGATTGAATAAATAAATGACGAGCAGTGTTACTGTAATATTAATATTTAAGACTACTTAGGAAGACAGGTGTGTGAGGATTCAAATGAAGAAGCACATTTGCCAAGTAAGCACAGGTGGGATTGTTTCAGTTTGTTACCTGAACCAGCGCCACCATTGGCCCTGTGGTGAGGTCTCCTGTGACATCACTTCCTGTCTGCCCTGTCACGTCTGTTGTGGTGAAACCTGCTGAACAGAAAGAGTCTCAAAACTAAATAAATAACATTTAAAATACTTGTCACAGTAAGATGTCTGATCTGCGTTATACCGGCCCCGCTCCCCCTTCTGCATCCTGCTCTCACCTGCTGCGGTGGGAGGTGTGTCCAGGTTCCCAGCATGCTCTCTGTCTGACGGCTCAGAGACCGCAGAGTGAGCTGCAGGAGGCCAGTAAAAACACAGAAAAAGAAGAAGAAGAAGAATAGTCTGACTAAACTCTGCTGTTTCTGAATATGAAATAATTAGTGTCAGGGTTTGTGGACGTACGTTTGATGATGATGAGGTGCACGGTGAACGTTTGGTCGTTGAACAGACCGGGCAGCTGAACTCTGCAGTGATAGAAACCAGAGTCCGACAGGCGAGAGTTCAAGATGGACAGAGAGGAGGAGGAGGAGGAGGAGGAGTACCTGCAGAGGAGAGATGATTACTGTAAATACAGAAATACTGTTAATGCTAAAAATAAAAAAACATATTTCAAAATTTCAGATATCGGTTAAACAGAAAACAGATGAAGAGAGCTGGAGGAGGTTGAGGATGAGGAGGAGAAGGAGGAGGAGACGGCAGAACTCCATCAACATCATTTAAGTTTTCTTTATGTGATCAAGTTAGTTATTTGCCTTTACATCCACATTACACTTCTAACAAGAGGTGCTAACAGGCGATGCTAATAGCAGATGCTAACAGGAGGTGCTGACAGGAGGTGCTGACAGGAGGTGCTGACAGGAGATGCTAACAGGAGGTGCTATTAGTTCACTCAGATCACTATTAATGGAAACAGACTGATGACATCACACCTGTATGACTTCCTGTATGTGGTCTGATCTCCGGCGGTGTTGATCAAGGTGTTGTGGCAGGTGAACAGTGACGGCTCGCCCCGCCCCCAGCACACCTCCACTCCTGTCTGGCTCACTGCCTCTGTACGACACGGCAGCGTAACCCTCCTCCCAGCCACGCCCACCACCGTCTCCGTGGTAACCCCTGCTACAATTTCTGGCATGGACAAAAACACACAGATATTTATATGTTCAAACATCTGTTCTTTAGCTGCAGTTGGCTGCTGTAGTCAAACTCGATCGATAGAAGTGAGACAGAAAACTCAGCTCCTCCTGCTGGCTGCTTAACAAACTTAGTGCATCACATTTTATCACAGAGTAACTTTTAAATGAGCAGATGTGTGTGTCAGTATCTTCTCCAGAACAGAGAGAGCAACGAGTGTCTTTAGCTCGCTCTGACCGGGACAGAGATCTGACCTGACTCTTAAAAACCACATTAACACAACTACAAAGTCGGCTAACAATCAGCTGAAGAACATACAAAGAATCAGAGGAATAATGTCTCATAAGGACCAAGAACGTGGATCACATCAGTCCAAGTCTGAGATCTTTACACTGGCTCCCAGTCTGTCAGAGAAGAGATTCAAATTCTGCTGCTGGTTTCGAAGTGCTGAATGGTTTTTCATTTGATTAACTACAAACCATCCAGACCGCTCAGGTCGTCTGGTTCAGGTCTGCGTTCTGTCCCCAGAGTCAGAACCAAACACGAAGAAGTTCAGTGTCTATGCTTCGTTTATCTGAACAAACGTCAGGTCAGCTGAAACTCTCTGATCTAATTTTGGCTCCGGCTGTTTCTGTTTTTGTCTTCTTTCAGACTTTAAATTGTTAGAACTTTTTAACGCTTCTATGATTCTTCTTTTAATGCCGCATGAAGATCTTTGAATCGCCTTGTTGCTGAAAAGCGCTTTAATAAAAACTTGACTAAATGAAACGTGTTGACATGTGAGTGTGTTTGAATCGTCCGTCTGTTCTCCAGTGTTTCATGTGTTTCAGTTTCAGGTAGAGACTCACCTGTGAGGACGCAGACGCAGGCGAGGGAGTGAAGAAGCAGCAGCGACAGCATGATGTTGTGTCTCCTCACACTGACGGGCAGAGAGAAGCAGAGCCAGACAGATGAATCATGACCGACTTCCCTTTTCCACTCCTCGTGTATTTATAGACACACTGAAGTTTCCACACAGTTTGTCCCTTGGCCAGAGAAAAACAATGAAGATACAAAGTGTTCTGATGTCGTACTTCACCTGGAGTTACTGTCACTGAGTTCCTCTCTAGAAATGGACCCAAATCAGTCTGGTTTTAAGCGGGGCCACTCGACTGAGACTGCACTAATGGCAGAAACAGAATGGCTACGTTTGGCTTGAGCTGCGTCCTCAGTTCTATTACTTCTAGACCTGTCTGCTGCCTTTGACACAGTAAACCAATCAAAATATTATTTCACCAAAATAAATCCTCCTATCCCTGCTCTCTGAACTTGGCATCTCAGGATCTTTCCCTCTGCTGGTTCGTGTCCTACCTTTAGGAAGGGAGAAGTGTCCAAAGCAAACAGTCTATCCACAGGGGTACCTCAAGGGTCAGTGCTTGGTCCCCTTCTCTTCTCCATATACATAAGCTCACTTGGTTCAATAATCTGCTCTCATGGCTTCGCATACCACTGCTATGCTGACGATACCTAGCTCTTCCTGTCATTCCCGCCAGACGATGTTACAGTCTCAGCAAGAATCTCGTCATGCCTTGCTGAGATCTCTAAATGGATGAATGAACGGCACCTTCAACTCAATCTTTCAAAGACTGAGAACCTTGTCATCCCAGCCAGTCCCTCTATGCAACCACAGATCAATATCCAGCTTGGTACAACCAAACTCATAAAAGTCTGCCAGAGCCTCAGGAAGATATGTGATGACCTGACACATCTGGCTGTGGCTCCTTTCCTTCGTGGCATTCCTGACTCTCTCTCTCTTCATGGTTTTTGACTGTCTCCACTGTCTGTATCTAAATAAAGGCCAAAGAAAAGGTGCATACAGTTTTTCTCTAAAAGCTTGTTTTCTGTTCCTTGTGTCCTTGTGTCACTGAGACTGAACAGCTTTAAAGATCAGCTGATCCTCGTCCTCACGTCCACTCGACGGTTTCATTCATCAATTCATGCTCCTGTCATTAAGATTGCTGTCAGATAAATTAAGTGTTTGTTGTTCAATCAAGTGAGGGATTTCTCTCTTCTTGCTTACTTCTCAGCAGCTGTAATAAGTAATTTTGTCCACCAGAAGGCAGCAGTCAGTTTAAATCTGTGTGTGTGTGTGTGTGTGAACAACTTTTGACCCGCAGATCTATATCTGATCATCAGTATCCCCTTTTTAATAATTTTTAAAGATTTCAGTGTTTTATGTCAACACATTTACGCATACCTCCCCTCCTCTCCTTACCCAATTTCCGTAACTCCTCTCTCCTCTTGTTGCCTCCTCAGTCTGCTTCTTTCTTTTTCTTTCCTACCTTGTTTCCTATATTTGATTCTTCCGTCCTCTTCTTGCCTCCTCTGCCCTCTCCTCGCCTGCTCTGTAATTCTCTTCTCTCCTTTGCCCTCTATTAACTTCTCTGTTCTCTAATTACCTCCTCTCGTCTCCTCTCCTTGTCTCCTCTCTTCTCTTTCCTCTGTCTTATCTTTGTCTCTTCTATGTGTAGCCTATGTCGTGTCCTCATCCCCTTGCCTTATCTCCTCTTTTTTGTCTCTTTTCTACTTTCTCTTGTCTCCTCTGTTCTCTCCTCTATCCTTTCCTTGTCTCCTCTTCTTCCTCTCCTGGCCCCTTCTCTCTTCTCCTAGCATCCCCTTTCCTCTCCTTGTCTCCTTGTCTTTTATGGCCTCTTTTGTCTCCTCTCCTTGCCTCTCTTTCCCTCTCCTTGTGTCCTCTCCTTGTCTCCTCTCCTCATCTCCTTGTCTCCTCTTTGTAATATCAGGGGTCATAGGTCACTGTGTGTTTTGGCGTTTCTCCTCTGAAATTATTTTGTCAAACATTCCTCTTTAATCACATTCCTCCCACTGCAGATATAAATACTTCATAGTGTGTGTGTGTGTGTGTGTGTGTGTGTGTGTGTGTGTGTGTGTGTGTGTGTG